TGATATCGTCTACAACCCTATTCTGCCTCTAAAACTTGATGCTTGTGGGCTTTTGAAGTTTTGGTTAGTGTCATCTTGTGATTATTCCAGTGTAAAAGGGGCATAATTATCACGGTCAGTTCAGTTAATCTGCATGGCTCTGGACTAAATTGAACTCACAGTTATATCCACCTCTGTCGGTTTCCAAGAGTTGTAACTAGTGTTTATGGTACAAAGAGATACAAGAAACAGTTGTGAAGCATAGTACACATATATAATGTAATAGTCACTGGCATGCCTGTTTTGGCATCTGGTGTTTATATTGTAATAGTCACTGGCATGCCTGTTTTGGCATCTGGTGTTTATATTAGCAATTTGTTTCCATTATGCACAATCTGAGCGTGGTTACTATTTTACTGTTTGTGTTTTGAATGTTCATATAATGACATATAGTATCTTTTGTTTCTCTTGCTCAACATAACAGATTCTGGTGGAGATCCTTAACGATATCAAGGGTACTGCCTTGAGTGGTTGCATGAGTTCTGTTCAGGAGAATGGATTTGTAGAGAAGGATGCTACTTCTGTTCTTTTGGAGCCTTCTAAATCAAGCTTATCAATTGCAGGAGGTTTATCTGCGAGTAAAGGTGCTTCCAGTGGCTGCAGCAAGGAGTTGCCACAAAGCCAGAATCTGACATCTAAAGTTAGAGAGTCGGATAGCATATATGGTACCAGTGGAGTTAGTACAAGGGGTTCTGTTGGCTTGACTGGATTGCTGAACCTGGGGAATACTTGCTTCATGAATAGTGCAATACAATGCCTTGTTCATACACCTGAGTTTGCTAGATATTTTCGGGAAGATTATCATCAAGAGATAAATTGGCAAAACCCTTTGGGCATGGTTGTAAGTTTCTGATCTAATTTATTCGGACAAATCCTTTATTGAAGCGTATTCTGTCAGTGTATGGTAACTTTGAACGTTTTTTGTTAACGGCATGTTTGCTATTGGTTTCTTATAATATGAAACTTTCTCAGTAATTTTTGACCTGTATTTTTACAGCCATTTCTTGTTTCATGTTTCAAAAGCTACTCAATGTTATTATCATATTGGTCTGTCATAGATAAAATTCTGCACTTTATCATTATTATCGTCAGCATCTGTGCTTTTTGGCTCAATATGTGATATTTTGGTTTTTAGTGTGTATTTCCTTGAGATGCTTGGGCTTTCTTTGCTACATAAAAACATTTCTAAATTTTATTTCCTATGTTTCTACATGTTTATATATAAAAACATATATGGTATATCTGTGTTGTACTCAGATGTAAATAAGAGCACTCCCTTCAAAAAACATTAAAACCTATAATTTTATTCTTTCAAAATCATGCCTCATTTTCAGTCTTATTCTCTAAGTATCTTTTATTTTTCAAATGTGAATTAAGAAAATAAAAAGTAGAAAATAGTTTTATTTAGCATACAAAAACCTTGACTTTTATATGTTTCATCTGCATCATCTTTTGCATAAAAGAAACTGGCTCTGTTTTTTCCTATCAGTTTATTCACTTAGCTATTTGAATTATTTTTGGTGTTTTCGATGTTTCAACCCAATACTGTTCTATCTAATGCACTTGGTAACAAGAAGCAAAGAGTTTTTTTCCCCCCGCATCTTAATGCACATGTTTATGGCTTTCTTTGTGCCATTAACCTGTGAGAAATTGGTCTTAAGCTATGGACAGCTGGTCTGTTAAGTTATTTTAATTGCTTTTCCTATCAAGATCTATTTGTAGCCACAAGCTTTGCAGATTGCAGTCACTGACAGAATGCGGAACTTTGATGTTGCAGCATTACTATTTTACTGAATTTAAATTGTGATTGTGTAGGGTGAGTTAGCATTAGCTTTTGGTGAGTTACTTCGAAAGCTGTGGGCACCTGGAAGAACACCAATTGCTCCTCGTCCATTTAAAGCAAAGCTTGCTCGCTTTGCACCCCAATTTAGTGGATACAATCAACATGATTCACAGGTATAGTTACTGGTTATAAAGTGTTCTATTTGTAGGTTTAATGTGATTCAAAAATTCGTCCAGTTTCCATCAATGAATGTTTATTATGATCGCAGGAGCTTTTAGCATTTCTCCTAGATGGTCTTCATGAAGATCTGAACCGTGTCAAGCACAAACCTTATATAAAGTCTAGAGATGCAGATGGCCGACCGGATGAAGAAGTGGCTGATGAGTATTGGGCTAACCACATTGCTCGAAATGATTCAATAATTGTTGATGTTTGTCAAGTGAGTATGATGCTGATGATATCATTTTTTTTAAAGATGAGAAGAAATTTTGTTAAAAGGAGAGAGGGGAGGTAGAATGTTGATAGGGAGGATGAGATACCCCCTGCAAAAGAAAAAAAGAAACAAAGAACAAAGAAGCATCAAGTCAATCTAGCATTTCAGTCCATTAATTTCCAGTACATTGAGGTGCTCAATCTTTTCAATTGATGACACACATCTTGACTTACTCGATAATGCCTAAGGGCCTTCTCCAAAACTGACCACAAAAAATCTCTCATAGTTAGTGGCTACGCTAGTTGGGATTCTAAACAGAGAAAATCAACAAAGAGGAATGCCAGAAAACCTCCTAAAGAAAATAAAGACTTTTCTAACTCTCTAAATGCTTAGGAATTTCCACATTATGAGATTTCGGGATACCATAACTTTCTGATATTAGAACGTATTATGTGTTTATCCTGTTTCAGAAGCATTATTGTTATTCACGTAAATGACTAATGCAAATAATGACAATTAAAATTATCAGGAAGTTTGAGTATTAGGAAATGGAGATTTTAAGCAATCCATGACAGAGAGCTGTAGAAACGGTGTCTTCCTTTCAAGTTCTTTCAGATATTTGACCTGTTTAACAAGGGGGGTGGAGTCAAGTAATCATGGATAAATACTGTGTTTATTAAAGTTGAGTCTGTTGTTACGGAAGTGCCATGTTTATCTGATTTTTCTTATGTGCCTTAGACTCTGCAGCTTCCATATGATAATCTGTGTAGCACCATAGATAACATTCACATCTTTATTTCCCAATTGACAGGGTCAATACAAGTCAACTTTGGTCTGCCCTGTGTGTAACAAGGTTTCCGTCACCTTTGATCCTTTCATGTACCTCTCCTTGCCCCTCCAGCAGACAACAACTCGAACTATGACGGTAGCAGTTTTTACTTGTGATGGAAGTGCTTTGCCCTCTACTTGTACTGTAACTGTTCCAAAGCAGGGGCGTTGTAGAGACTTGATTCAAGCACTTAGCAATTCTTGTTTATTGAAGCAAACTGAAGAGCTTAAGCTTGCAGAAGTATGTGGTTTCAAACATTTGATCTTTTGTTTTAATGGGATTTGGCACCATCAGTTTTATTGGATTGGGCGTTTTGTTCTCAGGTACGGAATCATTTAATCCAAAGGTTTCTTGAAGACCCCTTAATACTGTTGTCCACAATCAAAGATGATGAACACCTTGCTGCCTACAAGGTTCCAAAGTCTGTGAAGAACCCAGTGTTACTTAAGTTGATACATCGTCGTCAGCATCAGTGAGTATAATTAGCTGTGCCTTAGACTACCAAGCATGAATTATACCCATCTATAGGGGGTTGTTTGCATGGCAACTGTTGCCAGAAAAATCAAGTTTCCTATTAATATTCTCGATAGCTGTACTTGGGCAAACTTAGTAGGGAAATAAAGAAAAAAAGTTTACATTTTCTGTTTTTTCTTGCAACTTTGTTTTTTTTTTTTTTGCCTTTTTTTAAATAAGTTGCAAATTTTTTTTAAATCTGAGTGTTTATGTGTTCAAACAGTAGAACCATTTGAGTATAGTTAAGGGAAAATCTGAAAATGCTTTGGTTTAAATAAAGCACATCCAAGCTAACAAGGATGACTGTTTATACTTCAGGGATTCTGGTGATAGTCTAAGTAATTCACGATGGAAACCCTTTGGAACTCCTCTTGTCTCCGTAATATCACAGGATGATGCACTCACAAGAGGTGATATACAGGTGACTGTTAAAAGAATCCTTTCTCCTTTTCACAAACAAGCGAATACAGAATGTACTGGTGTTTCTGTGGCTGGCAACACTGCTGCAGAGTTGGCCCCCAGTAATATATCATGTGAAGGACGTTCCCAGTCTACGTCAATCTTATTGAATAATGAAAAATGTACTTCTACTGAAGTGACATCAATGCCGCTTCAGTTGGTTAATGAAAACCATTCGTGTATCGACTTGTCATTGGGAGAAGAGAAAACCATTAGACTGCCCTCATCACCGGTAATTATTTATATTGATTGGTCAGAGAAGCTTTTGGGGAAGTTTGATATTTGTCATTTGGAGAACTTGCCAGAAGTGCTCAAATATGGACCTGTAACCAAGAAAGGTCGTAATGAGCCTCTCTCATTGTACACCTGCTTGGAAGCTTTCCTACGTGAAGAACCACTGGTGCCTGAAGATATGTGGTTGGTTTACTCTCTCTCTCTCTCTCTCTCTCTCTCTCTCTCTCTCTCCATGTACCTATAAGCCAGGCTGCTGCCTCCCTTTCTAAGGAAAGAGTTCCAGGTGGAAATATTGCATTTGTATACTCTTGATATGGTATATCTAATTGACCATGTTCCAACAAAAACAATTCACTCTTGGCAGTTTGCCTTGCATAATATGATGGTGGATAGTTAACATTTTCAAAATAATTATGCAAGTTTGCCACTTCTAGCATCTTGTCTCAATAGTTTTTATAACATGAAGTCCACCATTGGGCAGTGCCCTGTGGGCAACTTGAGGGAACATGGTGTTTGTTTTCTTCCATTGGAAAATAAATTTTATAAGAATTGTTGAGGAAACATTCTTAATGTTCTCCATTAAGAATTTCTGGTTAGAATGCTTTTTCATTTAAACCTTTCTAATCCTGCTCCAGAAAATCATGCGATTTTATTAACACAACCTTTTGATGAAAAATGTTCAACCTTGATTGCATCATATATTTAGGCTTGCAAATATGTAAGATTGACAATCTGCATTTTCAATAGTCATATGTATCCCACTTTTACTGAAAGAAGAAAAATGGTTTTCTGCAAGCTAATTTGAAAATTTTGGTATTATCCAATCAAGGTACTGTCCGCAGTGCAAAGAACGAAGACAAGCAAGTAAAAAACTTGATTTGTGGAGGCTTCCAAAAGTTTTGGTCATTCATCTGAAGAGATTCTCTTACAGCAGATCAATGAAGCATAAGCTAGAAACATTTGTCAACTTCCCCATTCATGATTTTGATTTAACAACATATGTAGCCAACAAAAACAGTTCTAGACAACAGCTCTATGAGCTCTACGCCTTGACTAATCATTATGGTAGCATGGGTAGCGGGCACTATACTGCACATATCAAGGTAAGTTGGCCAATTGTTCCTCTAGAAGTAAAAGTTTCAGCCGTCCTTAAATCGGGTATATGATTAATGGATTACCTAATCTCTGTCGCTAGTTTAATGTTCTTTTTTGCTTTTTGGTTGCAATAGATATGAGTTGATGTAATATTTTTGTTTTATTATGATCTTATTTTTAAGACAACTTTTCAGTGAATTGTTGCTAGGTTCTGTCTAATTGTCGCAATGGCTAAATATCATAGTTAAGAGCAGGCTGATCGGCTTTATCTAGGCCAGAAGAAAAGAAGAGTTTCTTTTTGCAGTTCAAGATGTAGATTTAATCATGGGCTTAGTGGCCTTTCTACATATTGGTCCTTAATGTTTGTAAAGTGGTTCTTGAATAGTTATGTAGTCTATGAATTGGCATCTTATTCAATTTCTGCCTTATCCTTTTTGGTTGTACAGCTTCTAGATGAGAATAGGTGGTACAATTTTGATGACAGCCATATATCACCTATTAGTGAAGACGATGTAAAATCAGCTGCTGCATATGTCCTTTTTTATCGGAGGGTAGATGCTGATGCTGATGCTGATGCCTCTGTCAAGGATGCAGCACAACACAGTGCTGGTCATGGGAAAATAGTCCCTCAACAGTAAACAGCAAGGGCATATTTTTCTTTTGGAGAAAATTGTGCATATGTGGGTAGAGGTGAGTATATGCGAGTGTATCTACTTCTTCTAGAAACTACAACAATGTTGGCTTATTTGAATCTTGATTTCGCCCATGATGAATTTAGGAATGACGTTGTTAGTTGCACTTTCCATCTTAGAACTTGGAAAGAAATAGTCTATCTTTTAATAATGCTGAGCAAACTTAGTTGCCAATTGGATGTTAACGAATGTTTTCTTTCTTAGGATTGACTTATGCTTTAATAATTTTTGAATCATCAAAATCAGCATAACTGAACAGATAATGTTTGTTGTTTGTGCTTCTGATTTGGTGCTTTTCTTCATGCTGTATAGAGTTTTTTTTTTTTTTTTTTTTCTTTTTTTTTTAATTTGTACTGGTACTCTCTTTTTTTTTTCTTTTGCAGCGACACCAAGTGAAAAGACCTTGAAGGTCCTCATTTCGGTAATTGCAAGATTTTTTCAGAAGTTACTATATCTGCCTGCTGAAGCTGAGTGTTATATTATGGGCTCATGCTGGGAATTGCAGGTAGGCTTTTATACTTAGCTCCATTCAGAGTTTATAATTTCAAAAAGTCAGATTTGTAGGATGCTTATTTTATCCATTTATGAAATTGTTCAAAGTTGTGAGGACGAATCGCAACTTTATTGCATAGGATCCTCAGATAGTTTGGCAAGACATCATAGTGATTAAGCCTTCTAGAATTCAATTTTTTTAGATCAATTTTAAGGATTAGAGAGGAGGTAAGAAGGAATATGTTATAGGGGAAGATTTCCCATTTTGAATGTATAAAGCAACTAATTTATAGATTAATAATGTTTTTACCCCCTCTCTCTCTTTCTCTCTCTCTCTCTCTCTCTCTCTCTATATATATATATATCTTAGCGTGAGAGCTTTAAGCATTCTTTGATGGTTCTTGTCACCGATGATTATTTTGAGATTTCACAATTAGATAATTTTCAAAATCAGACTAAATTGTATGAATTATAGGCTATATTGTAATATTGTCATATACATATGTACGTATATTACAATGTGGCCCATGAACGTAGAATTGTTTCATTATGTGATTTTTTTTTTAATGAAATTTTAATTAAAAATAATAAGAGGTTTTTTTTTTGTCTTTTAAATGTCATGAAAAATGATTTGACATACACTAGGAATCGAATTTTTTTTTTTCGAAATTGTGATTGCAGGCCTTTTCGTCTTTATTGATGTTGTTATATCTGAATAGTTGAAATAAAACAGAAGAGTGGTTCTTGTTAGTTTTTATTGTGATCATCTTTAGTTATAATTTTCTCCTCGGTGTATAAATTGATTACGTACTGAAAAAAAAGTTCTTCGTATTGAATTGTAACGTGGCGAATTGCCTAAAGATTATACAATAATTTGTCTAAAAGATTATTTTATGATGAGTTTTAATCGTATTTCTTTCTTTATTTTAATGAATAATTTTGATTGGTAATAAATAATTACTCATACAACAAAAATTTTTTGTATAAAATATCAGGACTTCGTAAATCACTTAAAACTAACATATGATTTTGCATTACATATATTTATTTTGAATTTTGAAGAACTAATTGACCCATCAGGAATACTCATTCTTTAGAAGCACGTAAATTTCATCTGTGTTTCAGCTACACAAAAATGGTCAGTCTATTTTATATATATATATATATATATATGCATATACAAATTGGTATTTAATGTAATGCAGTGTATGATCCAAACCAGCTCATGTTCCCATTATAACGACGTATCAACTCATGTTGATGGGAGGAGTTATTTTAGCAACAGCAAGTCTCAAAGTTTTGATTAACATCACATCGTTTTCTAAGCTCTCGTCTTCATCTTAAAAGTTCATCTTTTGAACTATGCAAGCAACTGATTCCAACTGGGTTGCTTTCTTTGACCCCAACCTAATCAAATTTTGAACAATCATGTATCTTTCTATACTTCCATATCTATATATCTACATATATATATACACACGCACACACACGCACAAACACAATTTTCTTTTGGGGGTTTGCATATTTTGCCTTCCATCTAATCTGAATATATAAATGGAGAGGAAGATTGCTGCCAATAATGATTACAACTAATTCTGTTCAAACTAAAACTCTGTAAATATATAATATATACTAAAAATTCATTACATTTAATACCATAATCAATAATAGAAATTGAGAATTACTTAACAAAATGAATTGAATTTTTTTTCAAAAAAAAAAAGAAAAAAAAATCAACGGTAAAAATAAATGGAGATTATATCAGGCATTAACCCTCATTAAGAGTAGGGTAATATGACCCTGTATTAGCATTTAAAGACGATGTTTACTAGAGTGTATATATATTCCACCCAAAAAGCCATATATATATATATATATAAAAATATATATATATATATATATTGTATTAATAATTAGACAATTACTTAAAGCAAGCAACTACATTGTTGGTCAGCTTTTCCTTTTTAGAGTCTTTTATAGATGAATGAATTAAAAACACCATGTGAGTATTCCTATTTGCGACGTGTGGCCACTTCCTTAAAGAACCCTACTTTTTTTTTTGTTCATCTTTTTATTTTTTATTTTTTGAATAATTTTCCATGTAAAAGAAAATCCCATTCAATCAAATTCGTAATATATAGTTGTACGAACAAAATTCATCGTATACATACATACATATATATATATATATATATATCATGTTATATGTGGCGATCGGGCACGTATAAATTTAAAGGACAGAAAAAAAAAAAGAATGCAAATTAAGCTATGTCGTCTATCAATAATTCATGATATAAGCCAAATTTCATACGCCACTCAATACTATCTACAATTAAAATTGTATATACTTATATATATATATATACATATCTAATTTTATCTTTAATAATGCCAAAAAAAAAAAAGAAGCATTGACATTAATTAATTCTCCATCACTAGTTCTTATCATGCATCGTTCGTTCAATTCTTTAATTGCATGATCGTAATGCAATTTATTGTACTAATCATACATTAATATTTAATTAATATTATTAATTCAGATAAATTATTTTATATACAACAAGAACGCATTGATATATATATATATATATATGTATATAATCTTTATTTTATTCTTAATAGAAAAACAATTGAAGTAATTGAATAGAAGTCATAAAGTTATTCATTAGTCTAACAATTGTAAACCAAAAAAAAAAAAAAAAATCAACATTAATTTACACTTCATGTACCAAAAGTTAGCTATATATACACCTACTTAATTAGCTTTATATCAATTAAAAGAGAACCCATTAATTAAAACCTCTTTCGTTTAATTTTAAAGATTTTTTTTTATAGCAAAATTTATGTATTTTTTTGATTAAATTATACATATACATCGATTATAATACAAAAATACATATCTTGTAAAGAGAAAAAAAAGTATAAAATATCCAATTAAATAATTGTTAATCATTTTAAAATTTGATTAATAAGAAAGAGATCACGTAGAGAATGGCTAATACCCACAAACGAAAGAA